CAGCTATAAATGCAATTTAGAATTGATAGCTAATTCCAAATGATTCCGAGAGAAATTTTGTTTTTCAGAAAACTTACACGTTGTAGGGTTGGTGAGTTTCAGTAACCCAGAGGAATTGGCTGTGGTGAAAAGATAGCATAGGGTAGCATTGCAGAATTATTTTCAGAAAATTTTGAACAGATGTTTAGTGTTTTTAAGCTGATAAAAATATCACATTTGACACTAAGTTGTTTGAACATGGCTAATGCATTAAACTGCTATCTCTTTCTCAGGACTGAATGTAAGATAAGTGAGTCTGTTCCTCAGGAGTAATAAACATTACTGACCTGTATCTGTTTGATCATTGGCACTGTTATAGTTTTGATATAAATAAACCACCTTAACATCTTACAATGTTCCCCCTCTCTCAGTGGCCCAGTAGGCTCTTATAACTCCAGTTTTATAACGTATTATAAAAAAATAACACAGGTGTATCTTCTTTTGGCATTGCCTTTCAAATGGACAAAAATGAATAATGCTTATGTAAGGTCATCTGTGTAATGGGATTGGCTATGCAAGTTTGGAGATAAGGTGCCCACTAGAGTTAAATTGCTCTGCATAATAAAGGTTAGAGGAATTTGAAGAGAAAATGGAAAAAAAAACCTGTGCGTGAAAGTAGATACCAAGGAACCTGGCACTTCTTGGTGGAAGGGGATGTGAAAGCACTCTTCTACCCAGCCATCATTCCAAGGAGAAAAATATTTTGGGGAGGGGTTCAGTTGTGCAATTTAAAGCCCACTCTCCTCCACTGTAGAGGTTTTGGTGAAATCTAAGTAGCTCACTAATGATTGGTGTGAATGCTCTCGTTATGAAATAAAGCAGGTGCTGAATTCAACACTAGTTTGAATATGAGATGAACATAGTGAGAGCATATATATATAATAGTATATATATATACTATTATAATATGTTAAAATAATTAAATAAAATATTATATATTCATATAATAACATTTTTATATTATGTTTAGATATCACCTCATAAGGAAATCCAATATCTTCAATGTTAGACTAAGGTAGCTATTCTAGAAGTATTTTTCTTTGATTGAGCTTAAATTTGTTTCCCCATAATACCGTGTTTTCCCGAAAATAAGACATCCTCTGAAAATAAGACCTAGCACGTGGAAAGATAAGACATCCCCTGAAAATAAGACCTAGCTCAACTTTGGGAGAAAAAATTAATATAAGACACTGTCTTATTTTTTGGGAAACTGTATTTATGTATTATGATATTTATTCTTTGAAACAGTATAGAACTGGTCCAATATTTATTCTGCATAATCTTTATGTATTAACCAATAAATCTAATAGGTTCAAATTTTATGTAAATTTAGGTTCATATTCTATGGAAGAATTTTCTGACATTTAGAACTTTAGGAACACAGTTGGATGTCGGTAAAAAGCTGAGGTCATTTGAAATGAAATAATCTTTGAGTTTGTATGTTCATGGGGCTTTCCTCCCCACATATAATTGAAGATTGTTTAGTTTGATAAAACCTTTCTTAGCCATCTTTAATTGTAAAGTAGCGAAGTGGAAAATTATGGTTTTAAACAGCTAATTTATATACTGTCTTTAGGGGGCAGTACTAAACCACTGATAAATTTAGTTATTTTTGCTAATGCTATTGGTAATGACCACCATTAAATGAAATTAAAATAACAATAATAAGAATTGGGATGCAATTATGTACATCTGTTGATATTGGTAAAAATTTCTAGGTAATCAAATGAGAATGATAGTTTGAAATTCAATTGATAGTTTGAAATTCAATATAATACAATTGATATAATACAATATTAATTTTTAATATAAATTTAATTTCATCCAACAATTATTAAAATCCATTATATATAACACATGGTAAGAGATACAAGTGTGAATAAGACAATGTTTGCTTTTAGATAACTTACAATTGAGTAGTATACTTGTACATGTCTGCTATGTATATGTACATAAGATAAAGATAATAGTGTAAATAACAATATTTATTGATAATTGTTTACTTGCCAGTCACTGTTAAGCAATTAATTTTTATCCTCATAAACCCCTGTTGAGTAGGAATTATTATAATGCCTACCTTGAAGATAAGAAAGCTGGAGATTAATAAGATTATGTGATATAATTGGTGATGTGTGAACAGAGTAGATACATAAAGAGTTTTTCTTTGGGAAGGAGAAAGAGACATTGGAAGAAAAGAACGGATGTGCCTATGAAATATTGATAATCCTTAGTCAAGAATGTAATAACTTATAGTGCCATGCCATCTCAACCTTGATGGTCAAACCAATTGTGAGTTTGTGAAGGAGATGCCTATTTGATCATTCTATTCATTTTTGTAGACAGCATTGATCATACTGATGCTCTTGCGATATTAAGGTTTTGGATATCCCCTAATATTTTCACCCAGATGATCTGTAGGACCAAAAATCCCTGTGATAAACATCTTATATTACTGATTTGAGAAATGTGTACTTATGAAAGTATGGTGCTATGTGCCAGACTGCAGAAAATTTCACTGGCTGTCAGAGATAACAAAATACTTTGGGGAATATCATCATACAGTAGAAATATATTAGCAAATATGCTTCTTCACTTTAAACTGTTATTGTATCAGCTTGGCTGTTCAATATACTGCCTTTCACAGGTCATTGCTGAACGAGAGGCCATGCAACACAAGGGTAAGTGTAAGCTTAGAGTCAGGAAGTTGGGTAGGAATTCTTTTTCTGCTACTTTCCAGCTCTGTGACCTTGAGTTTCACCTGACCTTTCTGTGCCTTAGTTTAGTATTTACTTCAAGGGGTAGTTGTGTGAATTAAAATAATGAATGATAGTGCTCAAAAGATTATAGTTATTATTTTTGCATCTTATGGACAGTAACTTATGATTGGAAGACTAATTGCTTAATTATTGGAAATTGATTAAGGGAAACTTAAGATGTGAATGCCAAAATAGTCCTATAAAGCTTTATATCTGATTTTTAAAAGTAACACTTGGAAGGTATGGGGGTACTATTTGCAATTCAACATATAAAATATCTTTACTAACTTCAGTAGTCATAATCTACCAGTATTGTGCTGAATGATACTTCCCAAAGACTTTTAGGCAAACTTACTATCTTCCTTTTTTTCTTAAAAAAAAAAAATTCCCCTTGCTGAGCATTTAGCAGGTTCTTTGAATATGGAGTTTTTCTTCAGTTCTGGCAAAATTTCTCGCTTTAGTTCTTTGATAAATTCCTACCAACTCCACATAGATCTCTTAGTTTGACCCCCTACTTACCTTAGCTTTTAACTTATTTCATCTTTTGTTCTATGTTCTGGGAAATGTCCTTACACTTATTTTCCAACTTTCCTGTTGGATTTTATGTATTTGTTTGATAGTATTCTGTTCTTTTAAAAAATATATTTTATTGATTTTTTTTACAGAGAGGAAGGGAGAGGGATAGAGAGCTAGAAACATCGATGGGAGAGAAACATCGATCAGCTGCCTCCTGTACACCCCTTACAAGGGAAGTGCCTGCAACCAATGTACATGCCCTTGACCAGAATCGAACCTGGGACCTTTCAGTCTGCAGACCGATGCTCTATCCACTGAGCGAAACCGGTTTCGGCAGTATTCTGTTCTTCTTCAGGAATACAAATATCTTCTATTTCTATAATGTTGTTTCTGTATATTTATTGTGTTCTCTGTTAAAGACTTCTTTTAAATTTGCAGTGAGCTTTTGGTTCTTGGTCAAATTTAAGTAAAAACTTAGAAACTGTCTGGGTGGAGTTTGTCCCGATGTGGCCTTCATAGCAGGCTTTACAGCACTGATCTCACCATATTTCTAGGTACTGATAAATCTTTTCTCTTAGGAGGTTAATTTTTATAGTGAGAAATTCATTCTACTTTCTTGTCTGGAGGAATATAACCCTAGCTGCCATATTCTCTAAAGTAAATATGGTAGGCACTGGGGTTCGGTGCAATTCCTTATCTATTACATAGGTATTCACTTAATTTTTGTGGGTTTTTTTTTTTTTAAGAGGCTTCTCTGCTCACTATGCATGGATTCTTAGAATCCATAATCCCTTTGCTTCAACCTCAACAGAAAATAAATTTCCAATTCCTTGTCAGGCAGTAAAGATTTAGTTTCTTGGCTAGATGAGGGGGTGTTACTAGGGAGGCTAACTTTTTCTTATATATGGTGTCCATTCTGTTTTAGTCCCATCTGGCACCTACACCTTCAGAAGTAGTGAATCTCTCTGTTCATTAAGCCCTTTGGAGGGTGCTGAGGCATGAACAGGCCTGCTTCTTATTTTCTCCTCTTCCAGGCACTTGGCTTTCAGTTTTCTGAAATTTCCTAAATTGGGTAATATCTACTCATCTGTTTATTATTATCCAAAATTTTTCTTGAGATTGCTCATCCGCTTTTAACAGACTCCTTTTGTCCTTGTCCTTATGGCTTAGACTATGTTCAAAATGGAAGTCCTATGATTCGTTTAAAAAGTACTACCCTTCTTTATCTGATAATATAACATGTTATAAATCATTTTTTTTTTAAAAAAGGAGACTATGTTTTTAGTGAGATTGTGAAAAAATGGGATTTTTAAAGTAATTTCTATTTAAAAAAATTTGCCTACTATTCTTCTGATTGCATTTAGAAATCATAAGATTTTTCTCATTTGTTGCTATTCAGCTATTATTTGGGTCATTTTCGTGTCCTTTTCTTTGTTACGAACTTTGTATCTTATCAGTCTTTCCCACCCAATTTTTTCACTTTCAGCTTAAAATTGAATTATGTAGGTGTATGTGTGTGTGTGTGTGTATATATTTTGGCTGAGTTGGGATGGTGCAGTCACATAACTATGGCTAGAATTAAGTTGACTTGCTTGCTACAATATACTACAAAATTTTAAATTTAATTGATGTTAAAATATCTAAATAACATTGATATAATACATTGGTCTAATATAAATTTAATTTCAGAGAACTTCATCTACAATAAATTTGTCACCAGGAGAAGTGGAAGAAGAAGATGATGATGAAAACACTTGTGGGCCCTCAGGACTCTGGGAAGCATTGACTCCTTGCAATGGATGTAGGAACCTTGGCTTCCCTATTCTTGCACAGGTAACGGTTTGCTTTTCTTAAAGTACAATAAGACATAAAAAAACAGTTGCCTATGTTTTGAAGTAAATCTTTTTTCCCTCTGGAAATAGAGTTAGTATCTTGCTCGCTTTGTAATTTTTCTTCAGTTAAGGTCAGTAATATATTTATATAACTTGCTATACATATATGCATATGCAAACACATATTTTACATAATTTTATGTGGTTGTTTTATTTTGGTCATGTTGCTAGTTCCAGAAAAATGGAGTTACTCATGAGATTTTAATATTTATGATCCATAAATATTTATTAAAATGCTATTTGAAATTAAGTCATTATTTGTATTAAAATAATAAAAAATGGTTTACAAAGAGGCATACTAGGGCTCTATAAGAGCATAGTGATTTTTTTTCTTAGCACAGTGGACCATTGTAGAATAATGTGTGGCAAACAATAAAACATTGACTATAATTTTGAACCCATTTTGCTCTTCATTAAGTAATTTTAATTCAATTGTATCATCTTCAAATTCCTAATGTATTCTATGGACTACAAGCCCTTAGGGGAATTTCAGAAAAAGTAAAATAAGCCAACACAGCTAAGAAATTTCAAACTACAATGAAATATTTCTACACAAAAATGAAAAAGCATGTTATAAAAAACCAAAAAACAGTGTAATAGCAAAGGTATGCCTATGTACTTACATAAAGCATGGGGAGAAAAATAGTCCAGGACAGGAAATAATTCACAGTAATTGTCTAGAATAGTGTTATATCTCAAAACTATTCTTTCCTATTTTGCAACAAATATGAAGCAATTTTATCTAAGAAACCATAACATTTTTCATATCTATGTTATGGACAATTTGTTGATACCCACTCAAATTCCAATATTAATTTATTGTGGAAAACTAAATAGGGTAATCAAACCAACATATAGTACTTAAAGAATCTCTTCACCTTACTATGAACTGTTTATAGGACTTTAAGAGAATTTATCCTAACCATTACATAATTATTACCAATATGTGCTGGCTGTGAGTTCCATAAAAGTATGAAGTATGTATTGCTCACCATCCAAGGTCTAATGCCATCATAGTCCCTGGTGTATTGTCAGAATTAAGTAACAAATATGTATATTCTAGGGTTTCATTTCTTTACTTATGGTTTTTACATCCAGATGCCCACCATCACCATTTGGTCACTGTTGTGCACATTGATCACTTCTCTTTTGTATGAAGTGATTCTCAAACGTCGGTGCAGACGTATACTCCTCCTTGTCCAACTGTGCCTGTAGTTTCTCCAGGGGGTATTAAACATGCCCAACTGCGGGCCTCTTTTGGTTATGTGATACGAAACATGGTTGGCTGTCCATGGTTGGCTCTCTCTTGAGACGGCTCCTCCACACCTTCCTTATCGCAGCTCACAGAGCGTCCTGTTGCCCATTCTCTCTAGCAGGTGGGCTAAGGGGGGGGTCTTCTGCAGTTTTTTTTGTCTCTGAGTGACTGAGGACAGGGTGGGAGTGCTGATTACTGACTTTGCAGGGTTAGAGATGACTGCTCCTGCACCAGACTGTGCCCCTGGAGGGTGGGGGGAGGGGGAATCTGCAGATCTCCAGTCCTCCCACATGTCAGGGTGTGAGGAAGTCCAGGTATGAGGAATTTGTTTTCACTCGGGGAGTACTTCCTTTTAAGCCAGACACACTGGTTCGCATAAAGCTCTGCTCTTTGATTTAGCAACCTCAGCTGCCAATCCCTCTGTTACTTTTTCTGGAAACCAAATTCTCCTCCTATGCTTAATTATCTGAGGCTGTGTTTTTAACTCTTCTGCCCTTTGTGACCTGTGCCCATCACGTATCCTTTTCTCTCTGTTGCACTGTAGCCCCTTTCTCATCACAGGGACACTGTCCTCTGGACCTCAGTATGCCACCCTGCCTGCCACAGCTCAGCAGACCACCCCCTCTCACCAGGGCCCCTCTAAGAATCATAATAAATACTGGCAAATTGCTCTCAACAAGCATTAGGCAAATTTCTGTTAGGTCTGAGTTTAAAATATCCATAGTCTCTCAGCCAGCACTTCTAATTGTAGATAATTTAACTGTGGAATTTACCTTGAGGAGGGAATTGGGCAAGTTGGTAAACAGCTTGGTACAGGATGTTTTTCAAGGTGTACTGTATCAAAAAAGACAATACCCAAGAATAATATAGTACAATAGGGATTTGTTAAATAAATTATGGAGCATTCTATGATATAATATTCTATATCCATAAAAATGATTATATAGTTTGCACTTATTGAAATGAAAAGATAACCTGGACTTTTAAAGGAGCAGAATGAACATATTTCAAACTAGCATTATATGCATGGCCTAATTTATGTAAAATCGTGTGTGTGTGTGTGTGTGTGTGTGTGTGTGTGTATGTGTGTGTGTGTGTGTTTGGGTTTGAAAGTATGTTCAGTGAAATGTTTAGATACTTATCTGGATGTTGTGGTTTTGATTTTTTTTTATTAAGTTAATTATTTCTGTTAAGAGGGAAAATAAAGTTATTTTTTATAAGCAACTAATTTTTACAGCCATGATAATTTTTATATTTTGACACACCCTCAAATTGCTGATGAGATTTTTTAATCTTTTCCTTAAACATCTACACTCTGACTATAAGTGAAAAGAGCCTCAAACATTAAGCTATGTTCTAGTCTTCACCAATTATCAGATTGTATATAAAAATGATCTAAGAAATTTTGCCAACTATTTTAAATATTGTCAATTTAATGAAGATTAAAATATCATTATTGGCACAACAATATATCCAATATATACATATATAAAGCAATGGTTTTTAAATTAAATCTATTGGGATAATATTGGTTAATAAAATTATCATCTGTTTATTGCATTGTGTGTTCACCACCCAAAATAAATTCTTCCATCACCATGTATTTGACCCCTTTTACCATTTACTACCTCTCTCCTACTCCATTGCCCTCTGGTAATCACCATAATGGTGTCTGTGTTTATGAGTTTTTATTTGTTTGTCTTACTTGATCATTTATTGTTCTTAGTTTTATATCCCACGGTCTTGACTTTTTCTGTCGGATTCCTGTTGCTTAGCATAACATTCTCAAGATCTATCCACGTGGTCACAAATGAAACTATTTCATCTTTTCTTATGGCCGAGTAGTATTCCATTGTGTACATGCACCACATCTTCTTTATCTAACCATCTATTGAAGGACACTTTAGTGGTTTCCACATCTTGGCCACCATAAATAATGATGCAATGAACATGGGGATATATAGTTTATGTTTTGTTTAGCCTTTTTTTTTTTTTTTTAAAGAGTAGCGTTTCTCTATTTAGGAGGTCAAGAAGTCTTTCTTTTGTTTCTCAATAGGTGGCGCTAAAGCATAAGTCTTTTTTGTTTCTCTTGCATTGATCTGGCTTCTTGGATCTCTGCAGGGGCAGTGGAAAATGGTCTGATTTCCCTGGGGAGGTGACTGTTTCTTCGGTAACCAAACCACTTCAGGGCACCAACCCCATGGGGAGATGTGGTGGATGATGAGATGCTGAGCCCAAGAAATCCTAGTGCTACCCCACCTGACACTGCTGGCCCTGCAGTGCCATGGGTGAGACAGGCTGAGTTGGGAGAGCCAGCTGGTGCCTTTGCGGCTTTGTTCTCCTTTCAGTATTGGCTACAGCCAGACCTCAGCTGCCTCACCACTGTATCTCCATCCTTGTCGCTGGGATTAGAAACAGCATGCTTCTGCCTCCCCAGCTCTTCGGGCTGCAGATCCTCGGTGGGTGCTACAGCATCTTCTGGGGCCCTCTGTGAGCTGGGAGAAGGTGAGGAGAAAGTGCCAGGCCCCATGGCCTTGTTCTTCTGCCTGACAATGGCAGCTACCAGACAACCGCAGCCACACCTCTGAACTCCATCTTGCCGTTCTCCTCCAGCCTCTCCATCCCCACCCTGACATTGGCCTCAGCCCAGCACATATGGACCACTCCAGGCAGGATTGCTCCCTGAACCTGTCTGCTCCTCAGGGATTCGTTCCCTCTCTAAAGACTCACAATGAGCTCTGGGCCATGTCTGTAGCACCCATCTCTGCTCCTCTTCTTTTCCTTCCCGGTTTATTCTGATTTGCCCACCTTCAGATTTTTTGATGTCCACAGCTCAGCCATGTTGGTGTGTCCAGCAGAGAATTCTTTCTTGAATTATAGCTGTTCAATTTGTTGCAACTTCAAGGGGGAGAGACCAGGGAAACTCATGCTGCCTTCTTCTAAAAGCCTTCTTATAGTTTTTGAGTCTTTAGTTGGTTCTATACGTCAAAAAAACAACAATATTTTTCTTCCTTTCAGATGAAAATATCTGGTATTTATGGTAATGTATTTTTCTTTTATTTATTGAAAGGCCTATTCACCAGTATCAGTTCTCACTGGCTTGTTCAAAGTCCTTATATCAAGTGGTTCTGGTGTGTGTTGTTTTGAAAGAAATAGGTAGCATTGGGCACAGTATAATTTGGGTGCTATTTAAAAATTAAAATGAAGATATATCAGTTTGCTTAAAAACACTTATATGCCATGCACTTTTATTACCAGGCATTTATCTTAGGTTTCCATGAAAGCACTGAGTTAATTGCCTTATATCCAGAGAAACCAGAAACTATTCTGCTTGTAGGGTCCACAGACTTTCAGAATTTTTTCCAATCTAATCATTAGTCTGACAATAGTAAAACCTCTGTTATTTGGCCTGATAACCATCATGTGTAGCATTCTGGCAAGTATTTCTCTATTTTCCTGAATCTGATGAAGTTTTTCTGAAATTCCTCTTGCTAAATAGAAAACTACCTTATTTGTACTTGCCTCATTACTTAAGAAGCTCAGGTGGCTAAATATAAATTGACCTGAGATTAAGAAATTCTTAAAAAAATTTTTTTTTATTGTTTTCTTACAGGGAGGAAGAGAAAGGGATAGAGAGTTAGAAACATCGATGAGAGAGAGTCATCGATCAGCTGCCTCTTGCACAC